GCGGTGCTTGGCCCGCTCCCCTTCCAGCCCTGGCTGGTGCAGGCTCTCGCTCCCATAGTCTGGTTTTGCCTTGGCCACACTCTGGGGCAGCTTGGGGCGGACGCGGACCCCCGGCTGTCCCCAAGCCAGGCCATCGCTGGCCCCGAAACTGGGCGATCGATAGATACCATAACCCGCCTGGAGAGTCCGTCCTTGGCCGGGCCAGCAGACTCCAAACTGCTCCTCTTCCTTCAGCGTCTCCGTGCTGGAATAGCGACTGCTGCTGCGTGACCCGCCGGGGCTGCCGAAGGGCAGGATGTTCACCTTGGAGACGCGGGCCACCATGGGCAGCGGGTGGCGGGGGACCACCCTAGCGCAGCCTTCGGCCTCGGCATCGCCATCCTCCGTGCCCTCCTTCTTCTTCTTCCGTGCGGCGCGGGGCCGGAGGACAGCGCTCTGCCCCTCGCCTTCGCTGCCCGATGAAACGCGGGGAGAACGGGCCGCCGCGGCTTCATCGTCCCCGTTGGAGCGGGGTGATGGGGAGGAGGAGGGTGGTTGCGGTCGAGCCGAGTTATGCCAGGAATGCGGGCCGGGCTCCGGCGGAGCTCCGCGGGGAGAGCGGAGCGCCGGGTGCGGGACGCGGCTGCGGGGCGGAGGCGGCGGGGGAGCTCCGCGGGCGCTCCCGCTCCCGCTCCCGCTCCCGTTCCCCATCCCATTCCCGGTGGCCGCCGTCGGCTGCCGGCAGCTTTCCCCGAAGAGTTTCCGCATCGCCGGGACGCTGGGCCAGCGCGGCGGCTCCGCGTTTAACCCCGGGCCCGGCGGCGACGGCGGCGGCGGCGGGGGCGGCGGTGGAGCCGGGGACGGCGGCTGAGCCCCGGCATGAACCGGGCCCGTCGGCTCCGGCTCGGTGAAACGAAGCGAAAGCTGCCGTACCGACGGGGCCAGGCTGCCAAAAGCCCGGCCCGGTTGTTGCTCCGCGATCGGCGCTGAAACTTTCCTACCCGGGAAGAAGAAGGAGGAGGAGGAGGAGGAGGAGGAGGAAGGCGGGGAGGAGGCGGGCAGGAGGCACCGAGCCGCCGCTACCCCCCGGCCGCTGCCCCCCTCCGCCATTGTCGGTGCCCCCCCGCCGCCGCCGCCGCCTCCGCCCGCCCCCCGGCCCCGCCGCCGCCGCGCCCCGGCCCCGGCCCCGCCGCAGGCACCGCCCGGCCCCGCTCCTCCTCCGGGCTGCCGGCGGGCTGCATCCCTCCCGCTTTGTTTTCTCTCTCTCTCTCTCTCTCCCCCCACCCCCCCACCCCTTCTTTTTTTTTTTTTTTTTGGCTTTTCCTCCTCCCTCACCCCCTGCTTTTTTATTTGTTGCATTCAAATAAACTTTCCTCCCCGGAGGCGGGGTTTGCTCCCGCAGAGGGGGAGGGTTGAAGTTTTGCTCCCTTTTAAAAATTATTTATTTAATTTTTCTTTTTTTTTTGTTTTTTTTTTTTTTTTTTTTTTTGTTTTTCCTTTGGAGGGGAGGGGGGAGAGGAAGGCGGCTTTACAGCTGCCCTCTCGCTCCCGGGCTAAGCAGGAGCACCTCGCACCCCCCTGCATCTTTCACCCCCCTCTCGCATCCTTCCTTACCCCCTGCATCCTTTCTTCCACACCCCCTTCCCCCCCGCCCCCAGCATCTTTCATCCCCCTTCCCTTTTATAAAGTGGCTTATAAAAAAGTAGGACAGCAACTTTTTACATGGGCAGATAGTGATAGGATGAGGGGGGACAGCTTTAAACTAAAATAGGGGAGATTTCAGTGGCATTTTGGGAAGAAATTCTTCCCTCTGAGGGTGGTGAGGCACTGGCATAGGGTGCCCAGAGAAGCTGTGGCTGCTTCTGGATCCCTGGAAGTGTCCAAGGCCAGGTTGGACAGGGCTTGGAGCAACCTGGGCTAGTGGAAGGTGTTCCTGCCCATGGCAGGGTGTTGGAATTACGTGGTCTCTTTATGATCCCTCCCAACTCAAACCACGCTGTGATTCCCTCCATCCCTTCCCAGTTTTTTCTTTTTAGGGGGAAACAGGACAAATAACCAAAAATGTGAGTGCCAGTGAAAGATTCTTCCCATGGCAGCAGATGCCTCCAGACCCTGCTTTGCTGCTCATCTCAGGGAGGAGAGAACACCTTGTTCCCAACTTGCAAAGCTCTGCAGGGAAGCACTGCCCCGTGAACAGACTTTCTCGTGGGTTTTAGCAGCGCTTGTCAGCGCTTGCTATTTGGAGCCTATAACCCTTTTTTCCCCCCAAGACAGCAGATTTATCGCTGGGGATGTGAAAAATGAAGGTGGCTGGGACGGCTGGTGGGTGAGCTGTGGCCTTGGAGATGTGGATGGGTCTGCAGAGGTGTTCTGGCCATGTAGAAGATATTTCTGGCTCTGACCCCAAGGCACAAAAAAGGGGAGAAAAAAAAATCCAACACCTCCTGTAAATGAAATTTTTCGGGGCCTAAAAAGCGCCCGCAGCGATGCCGTGAGATGCTCCACCCCAGCAAGTCTTCCTTCCCTGACTCTCCCTTCCCACCCTCCTCCCTGCTTCCCCCAGGCCTGGGTGTCTCCTGTCCCCAGGATGTCCCCCCCAGGTGGCATTTTGGGAAGATTTTATTAAAATGATGAAATTATGTATTTCATCCCCGCTTGGTTCTGTGGGAGCTATTCCTCAGCTGCTGGCTTTGAGCATCTGGCCAGCAAAGGAGATTTGTTGAAGCTTTCACCCCATTTCTAAGGCATCCCTTTATTCCCATCACTTCCAGGCCTGGTGGTGCCAAGAGAACTGCTGACAGGGCAGGGCAGGACGTGGTGAGATCCAAGGAGAGCTCTGTGTGCTTCCTCCTCTTCAAAAACGTTCCAAATCAGTGATTCCAGTACCAGGAACATCATCCTGAGATTGTTGGATGTTACCACCTGAGCCCATGCAGCCCTTGCAGCCACCACCAGACTTTTTGGAAGCTGATTAAATTTTTCCCCCCCTCAGAGCTTTATTGCGGTTCGATTTTTCCGGCCACCTCCTCCCATGGGTCCTATCCATGCGCTGGGCGCTCTGATGCTGCAGGGCTCCTCCCTCCCTCCCTGGAGCCAGGTGGACACCCACAGATCAGCCGGATTTCTCCAAATCTAAATATTTTGCGCCCTCTCCTGGGTCCGGATGGCGTGGCCCGGCCCTCCCACTCCGTCACCTTCCTCCGGGCTGGGAAGAGATGGGGACATCAGGCTGGGGTTGTCCCCCCTGCCTCCGCTCTCGCAGCCCCCCAGCATTTTGCCTTTCCATTGCAGGACCCCAAAAATGCATCAGAGGGGATTTTGGCGTGGATGAGCTCAGGCCAAGGGAAAGCACAGGGCTGCCTTTGCCTCCTCCATCACATTCTGTGCCCCAGCCCAGAGTCACTGTCACAGTCAGGACAGGGACACAGCTCCTGCAAAACCAGGTGGTTTGAGCTAATGCTGCTGCAGGATCCCTCTCCTTCCCAGCCCAGCCATGATGCTGAGATCTCTGAGCATCATCCAAGAGCTTGTGACCACTCTGGACACCCTCCTCATCCTCATGACAGCAAGGAGACACACTAGGACTGCCAGCACTGGATGCTTGGGTGCCCAGGTACCTGAAGAGACACTGTGTACCTGCAGGGAGCAGTCAGGATGGAGCTGTACGCTTGGCCAGCTGCAGGCAGCCAAGCTGGAGAGGTGCTCAACCCTGGAGATTGGAAGCAAATCACTTCAATCCACTTGGGTGTGATTATTATAAGCAGACATGAAAAATGCAGTCATCCACATATATATTTATATATATATACACTGTATAGATACATATACCGTGTTCAGGCAGAGAATTTCTGCACTGCAGAGCCTGGGCTGGGCCACAAACCTCCCTCTGCTCGGATATATTCTATGTCTGTACATACAGTGGGTGTATACACCCATCTGAGAGAGAGCAGGGAGTTAATTCTATACATCCTATATATTAGAGAAGACTCGCAGAGCGATGAGCGCTGCCTCCACCTCACAAATCCCTCCTTGCTGTGAGGGAGCAGCATCCCAACAGAGGCTGGGGGAGCAAAGCTCAAGTCCCAACCCCATGGAGAGGCCAAGCCAGCTGTGGGATGTATGGTGACGTGGCCAGGACACTGAGTAGCTCTCTGTGGAATGCATCTTCCAACTCTGGGTGCTGTGTCCACGTGTGCTGGCTCTGATTGTGGTGGATCCTGGTTAGGAGGTGACAGCAGGGCACCACTGGCACCAGGATGTGCCAGATTTGGGGTGCTGGGCTAAGCAGGGCGCTGGACTCAGATTTATGGAGGTTCCCAGGCAGGTGACAATGCTGCCTAACCAAGCCCATGGTCATGGTTTCAGTGGGAAATCCAGCATGGGTGTTCCAGTTGCCCTGATGTCCCCTTTCCTGGTTCCCAGTCCATCCAGGGTGCTCCTCCACCATTTTGCAGCACCAGTGAGCTTGTGTCTCTAGCTGGTGTGGCCTCATTCCAGCACTGGGGGATAGGGATGTCCCAAAAAGGATGTTTCACTAAAACCACCTGTGACACTGATCTTGAGCTGGAGAAGCACATGGTCCCATGGTATGGGCTGAACCAAACCCTCCCCAGCCTTCATGCTGTCCCCATCAGGGAATTTTTAATTGAGTATGGGGACAAATCATCCCCCAGCAGCTCATCCTGAGCCAGGGATGTGTCCTCCATGGAACTCCATCTTGTTCTCAGCAGTCCCAGTGGATTTTTATTGCGTTGGTGGCTTGACCACCAAGGTGCTGAGCTGCTCCAGGTGGGGAAGGGAGAGAACACTGGATCTGTGATGGGGTTAACACTGCACCACCGGATGGAGGTGGATCACCGCGGATCCACCACCAGGCTGGAGATGGGCTGACAGTGCTGACAGCTTGGAGATGCCGTCCTCCTCTCCTCCAGCACGTCCCCGGTGAAGCCATCTCTGCTCCGTGGAGCTTAGAGCCGAAATTGCTCCGCGCCTCGGTGGCACCGAGGTGGCCTCGTCCTCGCCTAGGAGCCGTAGGTGACGCAGTGGTCGTGGCGCCACTTGGAGCTCACCTTGTCGAGGAGGTAGCGCGTGCTCTCGCGGAACTTGCGCTGCGTGAAGTAGAAGAGGATGGGGTCGAGCACGCTGTTCATGCTGGCGAAGGGCCGCGTGCACTTGTAGGCGATGGCGAAGGCCTGCAGGGCCGGGCAGGGCAGGGCGGGCGAGGAGCGCACGATCAGGTAGATGGTCTTGGTGAGGTGGAAGGGCAAGAAGCTGATGGAGAAGACGATGACCACGATGATGACCATGCGCACGGCTTTGTCCTTCCTCTTGTGCACGGCCAGGCCGATCAGCTCGTCCTTCTGGCACAGGATGCGGGCCATGCTGCAGTAGCAGGCCAGGATGGCCACGAAGGGCAGCAGGAAGCCGGTGAAGGTGAGGGTGATGCCGTAGGGGAAGTAGGCGGCGGAGCGGTCGGGCGCGCTCAGGTCGTAGCAGACCGTGCGGTTCCTCTGCGTGCCCGTGGAGGCGAAGATGAAGGTGGGCAGGCACTGGGCGATGACGATGAACCACACGGCCGCGCACACCAGCCACGTCAGCTTCTTGCCCTTCTTCTTGTGCCACGAGGCCAAGGGGTGGCAGATGCCCAGGTAGCGCTGGACACTGATGCAGGTGAGGAAGAAGATGCTGCTGTGCAGGTTGGTGTAGAACTGGAAGCGCACGAATTTGCAGGTGAAGTCCCCGAAAGGCCAGTAGTCCTTCTGGGTGTAGTTGTAGATGAGGAGAGGCAGGGAGCAGACGTAGAGCAGGTCGGCCACGGCCAGGTTGAGCATGTAGATGGTGCTGCGGCTCAGCGCCTGCCGCGCCAGCCAGATCTGCCCGATGACCACGGCGTTGAGGGGCAGCCCCACCACAAACACCACCGAGTACACCAGGGGCAGCAGCACCTGCTTGAACTCCTCGTGGTAGGTGCACGAGTTCCTCCCGCTGCTCATGGCTGTCAGGTTGGCCATGGTGGCGTTCCCAGCTGTCAGTGTCCTCTCTGCTGGTGTGGCCCCTTTGCAGCACCTGTGAATGTCAGAGGGGACAGCTGGTGACTTGTCTGCCTCATCAAAGGGTGAACCTACACTGGTGATCTGCAGGTTGGGGCAACCCCCAGTATGCACACAGGCTGGGGGATGAAGGGATGGAGAGCAGCCCTGAGGACAATTTGGTGGATGGGAAGCTGGACATGACCCAGCCATGCACATGATCCCCCAGCACGGGCACAGGGAAGGGGGATTCTGCCCCTCTGCCTCTGTGCTCAGGTGACACCCCACCTGCAGAGCTGCCCCAGCCATGGGGACACTGCAGAAGGACGTGGAGCTGCTGGAGAGTCCAGAGGAGGCCACAGAGCTGCTCCAAGGCATTCCCTCTGCTCTGGGAGAGCTGGGCTACCCAGAGAAGCTGCAGCACCCCTGGAAGTGTCCAAGGCCAGGCTGGACAGGGTTTGGAGCACCCTGGGCTAGTGTGAGGTGTCTCTGCCCATGGCAGGGGGCTGGAATGAATCTTTGAGGTCACTTCCATCCCAGACCCTCCTGTGATTCCACAATTCTAAGCCACAGTGATGGATTTAGGCAGAGCGAGTGGGACTGCACAGGACAGCGTGGCGGCCACACTTGCCACCATCCCACGACGCTTTTCCCGGCCAGAAAGGTTTGCACAGGGCCGAGCCGCTGCCAGCCCCCTCCGGCAGAGGAAATTGCGGCAGGATGCTCCACTGGCCGCCGGCACGGCTTCCTGCGCCTCTGCAGGGGGTGCCAAAGCCCCGCAGCCAGCCGGGCTCAGCCCGGGAGATGCCACCAGCGCCCAGCCCAGCGCGACCCTCGCGGCCGCTTCCAGCCCGAAATTAGCACGGCGACAACGAGCCCAGAGCTTTCCAGTCTAGCCCACCCAGCTCTGAGCATGGGAGGAGGAGATCTGCTTTCCGCAGGGGCTGAGAGCAGCGTGGCAGATGCGGTGGCACAGCCCATGAGCCCCCGTGCCAGCCCTGGGCAGCGTCTGTCGCCCGAGGGTGCCACCCGTGCCCGGAGGGCTGCAGGTGCCGAGAGCCGCTTCTCCTGCCTCCTCTCTCCCTGCCCTGCCCTGCCCTCCCTCCCGGCCGCAGACACAGCCCCCGCTTCCCCTGCTGCCCTGGGCACAAACTGCCTGCAAGGGGGTGCCCACTGGGAAGGGGAAACTGAGGCAGGGAGGGGGTGCCCAAGCTCCAGCCAGGAGCACGGGGCACAGGGCACCAGGGAGGGAGAGACAAACGAGTCCAGGGGTCACCCCATCAGCTTGTACCCCCCCAATTTCAGGTGTCTGGGGATTCAGCAGTCCCCAGAGCACAGCCCAGCCATGGTGTCGGTGTCGGGGACACAATTTTGGGGTTTGTGAATAAGTGCCCTGGCTGCTTCCATCCCCCTGATACCCTGATGAGTCCCTCTGTCACCTCACTGAGCCCTTATCAGCCCCCAGTGCTCCCCTGCATCCCTCTGAGCCCCCCACGGTCACCCCACGGTCACCCCACTGTCACCCCAGCTCCAGGCAGTCCCAGCACTCACCTCTCCCACCTCCAAGCTAATAAATGCTCCAGGGCTGTGAACTTCCCTCTCCTCTGTGTACCCCCAAAGCTCCCCTAGGACCCAAGGTCGTGGCAGCACCCACAGGAACCTCTGCCACCCCCCTCAGTGTCCCCACCAAGGACATTGGGGACAAGGTGGCTGGGAAGAGGGGTCCTGGGAGTGCCTCTTACCTCTTGGGGTGCCCCAGGGTGCTGGAGCCACAGCTCTGCCAGCCCTTGGCACATCTGTGGGTGCTGCGCTCGCCCCATTGAGCAACACTTCCCTTTCCTCCTTCACCCCAGGGAATTGGGGAACAGAAACCAGCTGGCAGGAATGGCTCTGCACGGCTGTGGCACAGCACAGATGCCACCAGGGCAGGGGATGCTCCTGCCTCTGGGTCCCAGGATGTGGCTGGCTCACAATTATTTGGGGTTTTTTCTGTAATTTTTTAAATTTTCCCCCCCATTTTTTGGCCTCTTTCCCTCATTTTTGAGTCTTTCCTCCATTTTTGCCTCATTTGCCTCGTATTTGACTCCTTCTAAGTTTGGGCAGATGTTGGGGACAGGAAAATCCCCTGGCACTGTAGCATCAAGAGGAAGAAGATGCTCCAGCTGTGCAGGTGCTGCAGTAAAATGAGGGAAACTGAGGCACAGGTACTGAGTTTGAAGTGAACCAGTGTGACCTACACCCCTTTTCAACATATTTTTCCCCCAAAACACCCCTTGGAGATGTTGGCAGGGACCTGATAAGGACCATGCCCAAGGCTACCTAGGTCTTCAGTTACCGAAAAAAAGGAGGAGCAGCCAAAAAAAGAAGGGATCCCCCCCAAAAAATGGCAAATGAGGAAAAAAACCCTCTTTGTAAGAGAGAAACAGCACTGAACCCCCCTGCTGCTGGGTTTGGGGGGATGGGAAAGCTGGAGGAGAGGAGGAAAACCCAGAACCCCCAGTCCCAGGCTGCCAATGCCCACCAATTAATGAAACCAATTAATGAAACCACACTGAGACCCTCAGCCTCAACCAGTTTCTGTGCCCAGGGCATGTTCCCACCTCATTGTCTATCAGGGTGGATTATCCCAAAAGTCCCTTTTCTCACCCCAAAACCCCATCATGGGAATCCCTGCCAGTTCTTGGGGTGATGGGGCTGGCACCTCCCACATCCATAGGAGCTGGTGCCCTGCCACCTCTGGCTGAAATCCATTGGGAAATGAGACTTTTAGGGGGAAAAAAGGGGGTGCCTGTGGTCTTGGGAAGGGTCAGGATGGGGTCACTCTCAACCCAGAGCTTTAAGGTGCCTGCAGAGCAGGAACAAGGATCAGGAAAGAGAAGTGGAGCTGCTCTGTGGCCAGATGGGGAAGAGATTAAAAATAATCACCCGCAGCCGCGAGCTTCCCCCTTCACGTGCCCCCTCCAACCTCTTTGCTTTCAAAGCAAGCCCTTCTCCAGTAGAATTAGCTTTAATTAATACCCTGCTATTGATTGGGAGGGGGATTCTGGGAACTGGACACGGTGGGGAAAGTTTTTGGATGTTGCTGCCCTGGAATAGGATGTGGGGAAGGGCTTTGTCCCTTGGAAATCTTCCTCTGTGGTTTATCTTTCCCACCCTGGTCTTTGTGGCTGGCTGGCAGGGCTGGAAGTCTGGGCTGGTGGAAGTGAAAGCTCCAGCTCAGCAAATTTCAAAGAGCATGAAAAGGGAGATGCTCCATCCTGCATGTCACTTGGCCAAAGCCACCACATCCTTATCCCCAAACATCTCCTGGCTGGTGCCAAAATATCCTCAGGTGCCCATCTGCCCAGTGGGGAGCCAGGCTTGGATGCTTAAGGGGAAATCTTCATTTAGTGAAGCCTCACAGGGTGTAACAATGTGGAAAAATTGGGGCAAAATTGGGAATTTTGGTGTACTAAACATGGATTGTTGGGCACAGGGTGGTGGCAGAGCCACTCTGTCCTTGGGTGAGCACATTCCTCTTCCCACAATTTGGTGCCCCATCATAAATCAGCACCTCAAGGAGGCTCTGGGCAACCTGGGCTGTGATTCCCTGCTGGAAAGGGAATGATGGGGACAGGGAAGGTACAATGAGCTTTCCCAGTCTCAGCTGGCCTATACCTCTATGCATGTAACTACAAACACAAATATAAACATATATCTCTATACATAAATACACCTCTACACATCTCTCTACATATGAATCTCACATCCAACCCCATCTATGGCTCTCCACACACATATTACATATTTATAAATAAATAGAAATAGAAACAGAAATAGGAATAGAAATAATATTAATATATCTCTCTCCACTCACATACACACACATATACAGAAATTTCTACACCCCTACACACAAATATATGTCCCTGAGCACATGGAGTCACACTCATGTTGATACATAACTCCACCCATATATACAGAAATATATTTATACATCTATACACACATGTCTGTGCAGACATGCTCATATATAGGAATATATTTATACCTCTGGAAGTATACATGCACAAATACATATATATAAAACGTAGAGGCCAGGCTACCTGCACCCACAGCAGAAATGCCAAGGAAAACCAGGTCCCTCGAGCAGATTTAAGCTCGATTTATGTGCAATACAACTTCTGGCACAGGGCTCATCCCTATGGATGCCTGAGGGATGCAGGCACCCCAGACCATGGGAGCAGAGGGACAGGGGAGAATCCACCCTGCACCAGCCCTGCCAGGGGGATCATGGTGAGATTTTGAGCCCTGCTCCATAGTAAGAGCTGCCAAACCACCCCAAAAGCAAAGCTTCCATTCGGAGCGGCTCTGGGAGCACCGCAAACCCCAGCTGAAGCACGGCTGTTCCCTGGATCTGATCCCATTCTCTCCAGTTCTGCCCCATCCTGCCCAGTTCAATTCGATCTGTTTGGATCCAGTCCTGCCCAGTCTGGCCTCATCCTGCCCAGTTTGGTTTCACCCCGTTGGATCCCATCCTGAGGGGTTCAGCCTTGCCCTCTCAGGTCTGACTCTGCTCTGTTCACTCTGACCCACTCGGATCCCATCCTGCCCAGCTGGGTCTGACCCCGTTGGGTCCCATCTTGCCCTGTCCAGTCCCATCCTGCCCTGTTCACTCTGACCCACTCGGATCCCGTCCTTTCCCGGTTCGCCTGGTCCCGTCCCCCCTCCCCACTGGCGGCACTTCCCTGCAGCGGGATGTGCCGGGAAGGAGCGGGTTCCCTCTCACCCTGTAAGGTCCCATCCCGCCTGGGTGAGTCGGACACTGTCGGGTCCCTTCCTGCCCGGTCCGGTCCAGTCCTATTTTACCCAGTTGGGTCTAACCCTGATGGGTTCCATCCTGTCCGGTCCAGTCCTATCCCGTCCTATCCTGTCCTATTCTGCCTGCTTGAATTCCATCCTTTCCCGGTTCTGCTTGTCCCGTACTCCCAGTACGCGGCACTTACCAGAGCGGGATG